GGATGTGCATTGATAGTTCCAGTCGGTGCCCGGGTGGCATTTCATCGTTGCGGGAGGCCATCGGCGGAATGTGTTGACCTCCCCTCCCGATTCAAGGCATCAAGAGCTCACCAAGCGGGCCGAGAAGTCAGGCGGGGGTTACTTGCAGCCAAAGCGAATCGACCGGTTCGCCCGTTTCGGCAACTAGTGAAGGCATGTCAAGGCTCCAAAATTGTTTCAGGATCCCTTTGGCAACTGAGTGAAATTATTGGGCGCTCCTAAGAAAGATACATTTTTTGTCGTTCCTATGATCTCTTTTGAGCTTATTCCTCAGCTGAAAGCTTGAGGGTCAACAGCTCAGAAAGACTGTTGGGCATATCACCTGGGCTTTTACGTTCGGTCCAAAGATGGGCCAGCATTTCAGGTGAGTTGGAGCGCATTGCCTTTTTTTTGGGGGATTTGAACACCTGAAAACATGTAGAGATGGAATTTGGCACCAGGTAGGACCTTTCGAAACACGTTTTTCTCGCCGTCTTCTTGCTTTTTGCTTGGACCCGTCATGCTCCAAGGCTAGGTCCTCCAGTAGTGCCCTTTCTCACCCCTTTTTTGGTCGGGAGGGCCAGCCCCTACTAAGATAGACGAAACCGAAAAAAATCGGGTATCCTACCCAGATTTTGGTTGGGAGGGGAAAAGCCCCTACTAAAATAGAGGAAGCCGAAAAAAGAACCCGGGTCCCGGGTACCAACTTCTTCTGACCTCTCTGGAGGCCCTAGTCTTGTGTTTCGTTTGGGACCGCTCAAATCTGGACCTCCAAACCACCAGGCCCCGATCCAGGCGGAAAGCTCTTGGGCTTCCGGGGGCTTCCGCGTGGCATGGGGCAGCCTTCGGTTGAGACACCCCCCCTTTGTGGACATGTTTCCTTTTTTTTTCCCCGAAAAGCTGGTACTAACTGGTCCTCAACAGCGGAGGCAACAGGTGAGACACAGTCAAAACCGATTCGGGTAGATGGTTAGTAAGGGATCCCAGCCATGAATAGCTGCGGAATTCCGCCTTCTGCATTCTTTCCTTTTACACTCAACCAACAAAAAATAGAGGGGCCGATTCTTGTTCCCATGGCCACTGGGGCATCTGAGTGGATGGGGGCAGAGGATTTTCCCAAAGCACAGCTGTTGACAGCGGATTCATTGCAGGCAAACCGGGCGAAAAGCCATCGGCCCCGCGCGCCCGCGATCCTGCTGGGGCCTTTTTTTTTCCTCTCGATTTCGCGAGTCGGGGAATGCAGGGGGGTGGTTTCTCAATGGTTTTTTTGGCAGCCCTTGACCTCAGTTCCTTTGGAAAGCAAATCAAAAACGGGCCCGTAACGTTCATGTGCTTAAGAATGGAGTTAATAGTATATTTTATGTTCCCTGTGTTTTTATATGGGAAATCTGTTTATTTTTCCAGGGGCCTTGAGCAAATGGGAGACAAACCCGCATGGCGCCAACCAAGTCAGAGAACATGGCCGATCCCTTAGATAAGGGTATCTTCTTGTTTGCTGTTTGCGTTTTTTTTTTTTGTGGTGGCGGGGGGTTAGCTAGGTAGGAACCACAATCTGAAGATATATACTTGCTTGATGCGCCAGCGTGCGAGGCTTGGGTGCCCTCAGGTCGATAGTTGTTCATGATGTTCTTTTTGGGCCATCCACATCATTGGGACCAGGGTTGTGGGATCAAGGGGTTTCTCCCCACTTCTGTGATACAAGGGAATCCCCCTGTCTATGAACACAATAGTCTTTGGAAAGGGTTTTTCCGTTGTATCAGAGAAGTGGTCATTCCCCACAGCCCTGAAATTGGGACTGCCCAAAGTTTGTTTCGACCTTTTGACCAGCTTTCCAAAACCCTCAGACTGGGTTCCAGTCTTGCGGCCATCAAAAGGTGATCTCGTCTGCCCGAGTCCCAGCAACTCTGTGAGTGGTTGAGTTCGTTTCAATCCGCGGGTCGGTGGACTTCTCACGTGCCCTCTGTAGGTTGAAAATTCTCGCCCGTCTCCGGCCTCCAGGTTGCTATAAACATGCGTTGCTATGCGTTCACTTTACAGGTTGGAACCCGGTCACAGCTGTTCAAAGGCAATCCGCAAGATCCTAGCCCAAGGGGATTGCGCAACAAGTCCTCAAAGGCAGTGGCTTTTGAGTAGGGATTATGGATCAGGATTGGCCAACACTATCCATTTTGAACAGCCCAGAATGAATGAGGCAGCTAGATTGTGTTTTCTTCAGGAAATCGGAAGTGCACCATTGAAAGTTTCCCCCGGCTTTCAGGGGGGTATTTGGATCCGTTTGGCATGCTTGGGCAAGGTTTGTTTCACGAACCAACCCCTGGTTCCCCTTTGAAGGGGAAACACAAGGATAGTGATTATTTTCATCGTAATAGGAATCTAGAAACCGGCTCGGATGCTTTTTTTCTGGATTTCACCGATTCTTCCCCCAGCTCGTTTTTCTTTGAGTGGTTGTTTAGCATCTACAAAAGCCACATCCAAACCCTTTTCTTGAAGCGAATCGAAGTGAAGCGAACAGGGGGATGGTGTTGAAGCAGTGGCTGCAGTCATGGTCATGTTGACCCCGGAGTAGCAAACCCCTGTTTATCAAAATGGGCGTGTTCCCTGCAAAAAGTGGACCCAACTAATAAAGCCAGGACAACCCCAATACTGTGGATGGACGAATTCCTGCACCACCAAAGAAACCCTGACATGATGATTCCCCTGTAAATACCAATGAACAATGGTTTCCCATGGTTTCATTTCGTGGTGCGGGATTGTGTCCATCCACAGTCTTGGGGTTTTGCTGGCTTTAATAGTTGAACTACCACTTGTTGCAGGGTTGAACACGCATTTATTTTGATTTTCCAGGGGTTTACTATGAATAAACAGGGGTTTACCATGAATAAACAGACGTTTACCATGAGTACACAGGGGTTTACCATGAGTAAACAGGGGTTTACTATGAATACACAGGGGGTTGTGTTACTCCGGGCTCAACCTCAGCCAGGGCTTCCCACTTTTGCGAAATTCAGCTCGAGGTCTACGAGGCCATGATCCAATCCAGAAAGCGGTGGCGCGGCTCGGCGGGGAAAAAGAAGATGAGACGTGCTCGGCCCTGGGTTTCTTTGTCTCAGTTGCAACCAAAGCGAATCGACCGGATCTGACCTTTTGGTCTTCCCATGTTTTGGGATCCCATTTTTAGTCATGGCCTGGCCCAAAAGGTGATCACCTTTTATTTCTGGGTCCTTTGGGCAAGTGAGTTGTGGCATTTTACGCCAAGGGCTGAGCCAGGACTTTTCCACTTTTTGATCCAAGGAATGGATTGGTTTTCCGTATTAAACCACTAAAAGTTGTCAACTTTTAGAAGGGGAGCAGAGTTTGCAACCGAGTTGTTTGCTACTGGGGTTGGGTCTTTAGACTTGACCTTTTTGGTTGAAATCAAGGATTCGGTTTTCCACTGAACCCCCCAAAAAGTGATTCACTTTTTGCAGGGGGGGTCGTTGCAGCAACCAACTCACTTGCAACCAAAGTCCGACCATTTAAGCTTTTGCTTCTGATTTGCTCCATTGTTAAGCGTTTGGCTTCCCTGATTTGCACGCAATGTGTTTTTGCGAGCTCGCCGAGCCTCTTGGCCACTGAGAACATGTCTTATCTTAGGCTAGACGCATGGGCATGTGTCAGAACGGACCCCGAAATATATATACATATATATATATATATGTACGTTTCTTTCCCAGCAAGGCTACCCCCAGACAACACGTCATCAGAAAACATGCTTTTGGAGTACATCAGGTCTGGGCCATAGTGGGAAATGTTGGCTATCTCTCCCAATGCTCAGCTATGAATCCAAGGTTACCTATTTGAATGCTCACCACCCCAGACCCAGGTAAACAGGTTCCAGGGAGAACATGGTAAAAGGATTGAACCTAGGGTTGAGAACAGGAAGACAAGAAGGTAAGAGGGTTTGAAAAGCGAGTCCTCGAGATAAAAAAGAAAAAGGGCCTCCGGAGACGAGGCTCTACAGTTACATTCACAGGAGTGCTACCCGGGTGTGCGTGTGTGTCTTTAGGGAACCCCCTCGAGCGAGCGGTTCTCTTCGTGGTTTCCCTGTACACTCATCCCAAAAAGGCTGCCCATTAGAGACCCACCTTGTTGGTATAGATGGCGCAACGTGTTCGGGTGCACGTTGGACCAGCCTTAGGGGCGAAACGTGAGCCATACTTGAAGGGTCATGGAGACTCCAGGCTCCAGGTATTGCGGAAGAATCAAATTTGGCCAAGCCAAAGCCATTTTGAACAGCCCAGAAACCCAGCGGTCCTGCACAAGTCTCACGGCTCGATGTGCAGCTGGTTTCCTTCGCCACAGTGGTACCTGAACACCCTGAGCCCGGACAGTGCGAACCGGGTTCTTTCTTAATGTTAACCCCGGATCTAAGTAGAACCCCTGGTTGATTTTGATCGGGGGCGTGTCCAATTCCTGATAGTGGGGGTTCAGACCACTTTTGGGAGGGATCACCCCCTAATAATGGGACGGGTTTATTAATCCTGGGTCAACATTAGTTGGGATTCTTTTTGTTTACCGGGCGCCCCGTTCAATTCATAAGTCAGGAGGTGAAACGTTGCTCAACAGTTAGGTTCATAAGTGAGGGGACACACTTCATGGGCAGTCAACGTGAAGACCGAGTCACTGACATATGAGACAACGCTTTCACCACCTTTCCCTTGTTGATTTTTGGGGCCACCATTTCCGACCCTTCGGGTCATTGGATGCTTCACAAGTGGAAAGGGGGCCATGGAAATTCCCCTCAGGTTGGCACCATTGTTGGGCATCGCTTTTGCCAATGCTTTGGGATTTGGCTCGGGCCTCATTTTTTTCGCAGGTCCTTCAATTCAGCACGTTCAAGGCCCTTGTCTTAGGAAAAGCGTGTTTGTTTTTTTTGGGCCTCCCTTTTGACTCTGGGTTTGGCGCTTCCCCTGCACCCTTGCTGCTCGTCTGCCCAAAATAGGATGTCTGGTGCGTCAATGGGAACCGCCTGGTTCATGAGGAGCAAACCAGTTTGGGGTGTCTTATTTTCGAGTGTAGGAATCCTCCCCCCTTTTAATTCGCCATGATATTCCGGCGTCGGCAGCTGAACCGAATTTCGGCGACGATTGAGGTTGAGAGGTTGACAGCCGGTTTTTGCTTCTCCATCTCTCAGAAAAATAGAGGGCCCTGGTTTAGATGGGGTTTATTCCATTGACCAGGGAAACCCATCGATTTTTCCAAAAGGCCATGACACAGACCCCTTAATGTTGACCCAGGATTAATAAACCCGTCCCACTATTAGGGGGGTGTTCCCTCCCAAAGTGATGAATCCCCACTAAAAGGAATAGGACACCCCCCCTATCAATCAACCAGGGGTTTATTAATCCGGGGTTTCCCTCCCTTCCACTATCATGGCTTCTGACAGAGAGCCCCTTGGAGAGTAGATTGATCTTCCAGGTATCCCCCCACAGGTGCCATGTTAGTTGGAGGAAGGGTAACATTAAGGTGATGGTTTTGGAGTGCGAGGCCAGCAGGCGGAGATGGCCATCGAGCTCAGAGATGTGCTGGGGCTCACCCACCACGACACCATGCAGGCGGTGGCAACCAACCAACCCCCCCGGGGCCCCCCAACCCCGACCCCCCGTATGGTGGACACTTAGGGTCTATTTTGCAAGCTCCTTCTTTTTGGGTGTTGGTTTTTTAGGGTTCATGGTTGCAACATAGACTCTAGGTGTCCACGGCACCAACCCCCGGGTGGGTGAGACACGGGAGCGAACCAAAAGGGGTCGGGTTCTTTTGGGTGGAGGGGCGAGGGGGCCAGTTCCTGATTTCGGAGTGAACTCAGGGATTCGCTTGAGGTTTCGACACCTCCAGTTGGATGATTTTTTGTGGGCAATTCCAAGTCATTCCCTGCGAGCAGCAAGAAAAATGACGCAAAGCATGCGCTAGACTACGCGAAACACATCGCAACGGCTCGGGATTCCTGGGCGACATCAGCCAGACAGCCTTGAGTCTGAAAGCCCGAAGGATTGCGGTAGCACCAGTGTCGACATTTCAACTGCAAGTCTTGGGGGCAGCATGGAGGCAACAGGCCAGTACCCCATTTGCGGCTGGTTTTGGCTCTCTGTTTTTTCGTCCGGTAAATGCGAGGTACCAATCCACAAACAGAACGTTGGCCACCGTTTGCCCTGCGATAGAAATGAATCGCTGCCCCCCCCGCCCCACTAGCATGGACATTGTTTTTCATGGTTGGGGATTGCTATGCAAGAAAGCAGGGTAGGCAGGTCATCCCGGGCTTGCTGTCTTGTGGTATTTGCATACGCCCATTGTTTGAACTAACTCAGTTGTTCAGTGGGCCCCGTTTTCCTCTGTCTTTTTTTGTCGGGGTGGCTGCCCCACTAAAATGGTCTTCCCAAAAAAGGGGTCCCTTTTTTTCCGGGGTCACTGAACAACTGAGCTAAGCTTGACCTACCTACCTTGACATCCATTACATGATCCACGACTATTCGTAAGTTCCAGCGAGTTCCAGGGGCATACATACCTTTGAAGCCGCAACTGTTGCGACCAGTCTGGTGGTGTTTCTCCCGAACATGTTGCAGTCTTCATGCTGAAAGCCAGAGGCAAAGTTGTTTTTTTCTACACGGCACGCGTTGTATCCGCAGTTTAAACAACAGATGTTACACTGTGTCATATACATAGGTGACCTTTTTGGTTGTTTTAGTAGAAAAATAGATGGCGATTCCTGGTTTACCTGTTGGTTTAATCATGTACCAGGGAAATCCATCTATTTCCCCATATTTCCCCTAAAAGGACTCCTATGGTCATGTACCACTTTAACTTTTTGCCAACTTATGGGTTTTCTGTATTAAACCACTAAAAGTTGTCAACTTTTAGCCGGGGAGCAGAGTTTGCAACCGAGGTTATACCTTCACTGTTCTTGGCATGTTTTTTTTGGTTCTGTTCATTTTTACTGGGGGTCTGCAAACAACAGTCAGTTTTTTGCTATACCAAGAGTAGAGATGTGTGTCATATACCTATGGTTCAGCGACCCTTCCTCGTTCCTTTCATCCTAACGCAAAGACGCTGCAGACCCTCGGCATGCGCTGCTTCAGCAAGGCCTCAGACAATGCCCGTCGGCCCAAAACATCGTCCGGACTCGGCGAACCGTTTTTTCACTCTTCCCAGTTTTTTTCCCCTTCTTTTTTTCTTCTTCTTTTTTTTCCTTCTTTATTTTCCTTCTTTTTTTTCCTTATTTTTTTCTCCTGCATTTTCCGCTTCAACCAGCAAAGGGTTGTCCTTTGGGAGGGGAGTCCAACATTTTGGCCCTGGCCGAGGCAGGCCAGGCCGTTCGGGGCGCGTCAGGCAGTGCACGTCCTGAAGAACGGCAGCCCGGAGCTTCTGAAAGCCGCGCGGGCGGTGATCAGGGGCGAGGCCGGGGCCGGGGGACGAATTTTCCCGGATTTGGTTGAACCACGACGTGGGTTTTGCCCCCTCCTAATAGATGGGTCAGTCGGTCAACTCGGACCACCCCTCGAAATGATGCCAAAGAGTCCAGAAGCGGAGTTTGTCCTTGAAGACCAGTCCTTCTTATGCAGGCTGCATGTTTGTGGGAGGTTGGTTACATTGGTAATAAGCCCAATGACTCGGCAAGTGGCTGTGGCTTGATAAAATGTACCCAAATGGCACCTGGGTAAATGGAAGCAACGACTAAGACCTGCGTAACAGGAGCTCTCACCCATGTGACGCTCAGGTGGTGCCGATTCTGGACATCCCTTCTGCCCAGCCTGCCCGGCCGCCCAAATGCCACGTCCTGGCAGAGCCATCGCTTCGAAAACCGCCTGGGAAGACTCCAAGATGGAGCAACAAACCGCCGCGCGGAATCTTCTTTTGGTTGGGGATGGCCCTGGTTTGTTGCATTTTGCCAAGGGATGTTAGGACTTTAACTTTTGCCAACTGGGTTTTTTCATGAAACAACCACTAAAAGTTGAACTTTTTGCAGGGGAGCAGAAAGCAGCCGTGTCTGGTTTGGGGTTCCATGTTCTTCTTTGGCAGCGTATGAGTATGCAAGTGGCAAGTTGCTGGAGCCCTTGTGACCTAAAGGTGTTCTTCCATCTGAAATCAGTATCGGCCTCCGCAACCAAAGCACCAATCAACCTTCGCATTGGAATGTGCATCTCTGATTTTGGTGGTTGAGGGCTGTTCTTCCATGTTTCTTCCCACTTGCTGAAGTGAATGTTAAACAATGGGTTGGTTCTGGCTTGCTGCTTGCTTAGGGTTGGTTTTAGTGAGGGTCGGAATTGGGTGTTTTTTTTTTTGTTCGGTTCAGGGTTAGCTTAGGGCTGGTTTAGATTTGGTTGCGGGTTCGGCTCGGGTGGCAACATGTTGAGAACTTTGCAGGCCCACACCGCGGGTTCAGATCCAGCAAGCGCTTTTAATGTCCACGAAATTCATAGCTGTGACCATCCCCGTGGTGTTCCACACGTGCGACCTGACTCGCACCAAGCGATTGTGGAGAAGAAAGGAATAGAGCTTTAAGGGTTCATTCCTTTTCCATTCTTTCCAACCATCGGACTTTTCGAACACCGGCCGTTTCTTTCCATGGGTTTCGGGAAATTTTCTAGAAAGAAGGATCCATGGCAAGAATGGGGCAGGTAGCACTAGATTGCGAAAGCACCCATCGTCCGCTTCCATGCTTGAAAGAGGGTAAAGGGTGTTTCAAAGGTCAGTCGAACCGAACCACGCTGATCTCAGCTGGATCCGAGGAAGTGAAGCGGGCGCGCGGCAAGGAGGGACTTCTGTGCATCGCCCCATCGGTGGTTCCCCCAGCAGAGGCCTTCCAGCGGCATTTCTTTCTCCAACTCAGTTGTTCCGTGCCGCCAACTATTTTTCCAACCTTTTTTTTTGGTTTTCCGAGTTGTTCAGTGGTTTTCCCCCTTGTTCCCCTTTTTTGGTGGCTGCCCCACTACAAAAGTCGGTCCAAGCCCCAAAAAGGGTGTCCCTTTTTTTTTTTCTCCCAAAATGGGTCACTGAACCACTGAGCCAAGGTTGAGTCCATGGGGCCCCTGGATTCATGCTCCCCTTGAAGGGAGGGCTGCCATGATCTATTTGCAGGAGAATTCAAATCTAGGTCCCGCAGCTGGGTGCCAACTTTTACCCTTTCTTTTTTGGGGGGAGGGGAAGTTCCCCTACTAAAATAGACTACGGGGAAAAAGAAACGGTACCAACTTATTCTAACCGCTCAAGTCTGGAGGACCTGGTAAGTACCCCGGGTCAAAGTCCGCGAGGTGTCAGCGCGGTGACCGTGTCAGCACTTCCAGCCTGTAGTCTCCAAAACGTACCCCCTACTCCAAATACCCACTTTTTTATGGTATTTTTGGGAAAGCCTGGTTTTTCACGGTAAATACCTCCTTTGTTAGTAGAGGGTCGACCTGATACCCTAAAAAAAGCGGGTATTGGGTGTAAGGGGTAGGTTATGACCCAGTTCAACAAGGATAGCGACGCCCATGGGCGTGTCGTATCTAGGACGGAGCCCCCAAAAAACCACGGGGTTTCGGTCTCCTGCTTTTCTGAAACCACCGAAAAAGGCGGGGGTGCCAACCAAGAAAAAAACGAGCCAGCCGTTGAATGCTTTGCTACCACCTTTGGCAGCAACAGGTTCACTAGGCTCGCCTGCGGTCAGGAGGAGGCGGACGACAGGGGGAAGAAGCCCAGGAGTTCGCTTCGAGCTTTGGCACGCTTGTACACCAAGCGGTTGCTCAAGGAATGAGTGGTTTATTTCACAAGGTTGGCGGGCACAACACCCTTAGAACCCCTCTCCCCCAACCCCCCCCCCCCCAAGAACAAGCGAGAGAGAGAGAGAGATGACAAATGGACGAGAGAACAAGAACAATAAAAAGGGAGAGAGGGAGAGAGAGAGAGAGAGAGAGAGAGCAAATGAACAAACAAAAAGAGATGGCCCTCTTTGTCACCACACTTGCTGCATCCGTTTTAGGCGTGATTTGCCGCATCCCCTGAACCACTAGCTCATGGGCTGGTGACTTTCAGGCCTTGGGGAAACATCAAGATAAGCTCGCAACAACTCGGTCACTCAGTGCCATCGGGGGTCCGTTTCTTTGGACTTGGTGGTTCCCAGCCCAGCCTTGGCAGAGAATCAGAGGACAGCCCAGCTGAATGGGACATCCCCCCAATTAATCCAATTCATCAACCAGAGGTTATCCTTTCCACGAACTCACTGCCTGACTTCCGCTTCGGACTTTATAACTGCCGTGTTGGGGAGATGATTTTCGTGGGCGATTCCATCACAAGCTGCTGGCATTCGCACGCCTAGCTCCTCTCCGAGCAGAGCGGACGCTGCACTCTCCATGCTGGGCGGTGTGTTCCTTGAAGCTGTTCATGATTTTGCTTGCATTCCTCTTGCTTCTTGTTTTTTTGGCGTCGCTTGCCCAAGGCGAGTCGACCTTTTAACCTTTGCATGTCTCTGATTTGGTCCATGTTTAGTCCTTTTTTAGTTCCAGGTCCTTGGGGCAACTGAGTTGCAGCAGTGATCTTCTTTGTCTGCATTTGGCTTGGGGCGAGGTGTGTCAATTGCCGGGTATCGGACACCTATACTCGATGTGTGCCCTTGTCTTCTTTGTTCCGAGGAAGGGTCTGCGCCTTTCGCTGGCTGGGTTGTTCAAAGTCAATCCGGTGCACCGATCGCCTCAGATCGCGGTACTCACGCTTTCCCTTGCTATCCATAGTGCCCCGCGGCTTGGGATTACGGGTTGGGATTAAGCTGACCCCCCCCCCCCCACATGAGCCACAATCAAAACCCGGGTAGATGGTTAGGTTAGTAAGGGAGAAGTCCAACCAGAAATAGCTGCGGCCGCCTTCTTAATCCTGTACATGGTTCTGGGTAATTAGGCCATTTTAGTACCAGGTTTTGATTGCGACTCACATGTTGGACAATCCAGTTTGGGTTGGGCGTGGTTCCATGCGCCACAAATCCACTGCTACTTCGGCTTGGGCCGTGCCCGAGCTGCAGGACGGGCGTGCTCCTGTCGGCCTCGTCCTTCCTGCAGGCCGAATGCCGAAGAGTCGATGAGCCGCCGGACCGCGAGAGGTGGAAGCATTTGGCAGCCTTTCAAGGGCAGCGCTGCGGGAAATCGAATCCACTTCTGTGATACAACAGACAAAACTTCCCAAAGACTATCCCAAAAGGGGGAAAATCCCTTGTATCACAGAAGTGGGGATAAACTCCTTGATCCCACAACCCTGTTCAAAGGGAAAACAAAAGGGAACAACATGAAACCAAAGGAAACTTCAGGAATAAAGGAGCCCCCAAGGAATGCGGCGGCCCGGCCATTTTGATAGATTTGGTCGCCAATCTGTATAATCTTCAAGTTGAAGCAAACGGTATGGTGAAGGGGTCTAACTTTGGTCAAGAAATGGCCCAACCGAAACAAACTATTATCCCTTTTGCGTGGAGATGACACCTGTTCAGAGGTCATGCAAGCAATTGACATGTTGAACAAAATCACTATGGAGAAAGCAACTTCCATGTGGCCGTTTGGTGGGGAGTACCTGCGGATCGGCCCGTCCTGTTCGGCACGCATCCGCCCACTTTGCTGCGAGCAGCTCGGGGAGGATTTGAGCCGGAGCCTTCCGAGCGAAGACAAGAGAAAACCCACCACTTCGCCAGCTGGCCTCTTTGTTGGTATTGGATAGGTGGTTTGGAGGTGTTCTGGGGTGCTTGTCCATTCATTCATGCCGCCGCGCAAAAAGGGCTTGAGAGAAGGAACTTCAGGAAGATCCCGGAAGACAAATTTCCGAGGGTTCCATCTGGGCTGTTCAAAGGCAATCCTGAATCCTTACCCAAGGGGTTACGCAAGGATTTGGTCCCCTTTGTAGTGCCTTCCCCCAAACTTACCTCTAAAAACACAACTTTTCAACTTGTTGGGCAACACGGCTATATGTCTGTAAAAGATTAACTTCCCCAGGGCTTGGAGTTTCAAGGGGTAAGCAAAAATCATGGAAACTCGGATCCAGCCCAAGCCATTTCGAAGAGCCCGGTCCATTTCTCCCCTTTAAGCTTGGGAGGCTTCCTGGAGCCGAACAACTTGCTAGGCGAATGCCAAGAACCCATCCAGGTGGAGCATGCCAACTCATTGCCTATCCATGGTTGTTGGGAAACATGTTTTGCATTTTTGCTTGTTGTGGTTTAGTGGGAAATCCCCACTGAACTGCTAAAACTTAATTTTTTGCTCCCCTTCCAACGTCAACCAAGTATCGCACCGATCGCAGGTTAATGTTGTAAAAAACAAAAACTTCTGTGGCACATGGGGCGCATGCGGGTCTCTCGCCGGATGTATTCTCGGCTTCGGTTGCCACCCGCCCACGTGAAAATTTGGGAACCCCTTTTAGTAAAGGTCCCAAAAGGTGACCTTGGTACCATTTGGTACCTCTAGATGGGACTTATTTTAAAAGAGTTGGAACCTCCTCACCTGTTCGGCATGAATCCCAAGGCTGATGTCCACCAAAGCGTCCCCGAAAATATCTCAACAAAAAGCCCCTAAATTCACAACATGAAAAGGGGAAACCCATCTGTGTTGCCCTTAACCACACCCCTTGGGTCCCAGCCATCCGGTTCCTTCAGGTGTTTCAGCCTTTCAGGTGGAAGTTGTCAACTTGTTTTCTTCTAATCGTTTTTTTTGCCCGGAGCAGCCATCTTGTCGTGCTTAGTGGGGGATGTCCCGTATGTAACCCGCGAAACTAAACGTGGGCCACTTTTCTAGCCGAAGATCTGAAAAGGGACCCGCCCAGAGACCCCCACACCGGGCATGCAGGCCGCGGCGCTGGAGTCGGATACTGGCAGGAGCCTCAGGGGCAGAGGCGACGCCAAGAACTCACTTGCCCAACGCACATGGGAAAATAGGGCGAACGCCTTTTTTGGGGACCTTGAGACCAAAATAAGCACCAAGCCAGGAAAAAGCAAAAGGTCAAAATGTAGTTACCAAAATGACCCAACCTGTAATCTTTCTAGGCTTTTTTCTCCCTTGTTGACCAACTAGGGGGCCAAATGTAGCCTTTGGCTCATCTTTTTTTTTTTTTTACAATAAACAAGTTATAGGGGTGGTTGCAACAAAACGCGGTCATGTCAAAAAGATATTGGCCTGCGGTCTTCCGACTTACATTTGTGTTGGTCCTGCGGGGTGGTTGCAATGAGCGCGGTCATGTGAGAAGATATTGAATATTGTGGTGTTCCTAGTTGTTGTTTAAACCAGAGGTGTCAGGTAAGCCTGAAAATTCATGTGGTTCGGAGCCGCTGGTTTAGATCTGGATATTTCAACCCCTGGCTGTTGCAGGGGGCTGGGAAATCCTTTCGCTGGTGGCGTAGATTGGTGGTTGTGGCTTTTGTGGAGGCAAAGATGGGGAACTCTACTGGTGCGATAGGCAGGGAATGAGAATTAGAATGACCCATGTAACCCGTCCAGTTGGTTTCTTTCGGGGATCCCAAAGCGGTTCATTCCACGTCTCATTCCCTATCGCACCGAGCAAGCAGAGCCCGGTGGTGAGTGCTTCCAGTTACCACTATATATAGCAGGTAACCTGGAGAAACCATGATGTAAAAAGCCTGGAGGTCGCCATACCTGGTTACCTACTATAGTGGTAACTGGAAGCACCGGGCTGGCTTTTGAGGAAAATATTGAGAAGCCCCTCCTTACCCAAAATTCAACTCAAATCCGCGGCTTAGGCGCGGACAAGCCACAAGTCGGTGAGCACGTGACTCGTGGGCTGAAAGATCCGAGGCACGTCGTTGCTGGTGCCCCGGGGCCGCCCGGACGCGGTGCTGCGGCCCCTGCTGCCGCTGCTCGCCAGGGCGCCAAAATGTGGGTCGTAGCGAGAAAAGGCGAGGGGCGGTTAACTGGGTTCTCCCCAGTTCATGTTGACCCCGGAGTAATAAACCCCTGTTTATTAATACTGTGGATGGACGCAATCCTGCACCACCTGAGAAACCCTGGAATGATGATTCCCCTGCAAACACCGACAAGCAATGGTTTCCCATGGTTCAAAGTGGTGCAGGATTTCGTCCATCCACAGTATGGGGGTGTCCCTGGTTTCAGTGGTGATTTATCATCCGGGGTCAGCATTAGGCAAGTGAGCCAAAGGCACGAGAAGCCACAAAGCCCCGGACAGTTATGTGAATGCTTGGGTTTACTTTTGGGAAATGTGAAAAGATGGAGAGAGAGAGGGAGAGAGAGAGAGATAGACCTGCTGGATACATATGGATACATAGAACATCCTGAAACAGTTACACACTAAAATTCCCCTTTGCCTCGACTGGATTCTGTCGAACTTGTCGAAGCCGCTGACTGCAGTTGAAAAATGGGCGAAGGGACCCTTTTTTTTAATGTGACACTTTCAACCTTTGGCTTGCGGCGTGGTTCGTTTGCGGTCATTCTGCCCCCAAATGTTTGCTTCAAAATTTTTAGTTGCCATTTGGGCAACTGAGCCGGGTTTCCATTTTTGCAACATTCATGGACGCTTGACTGATGGGCTTGGGAAGACTGCTGTCCTCTCGAAACGGCCTCCTCGTGCCCTTGGGTTGTAACAAGGGTTGAGGCTGTCCACTGACTACTTTGCAAATTGAACACCGGCAGGCGCCCCAAAACGGGGGGGGTTCCTGCGGAAAAAAAAAAAGCAAACAACTGAGAAAAAAAACTGAGAAAAAGGCAAAACAACACAACGGCAGCTTTGGGTCCATGCGAGGAAAAAAACCGGGTGGCCTGGGTGTTTTGCTTCATGGGGCAAGTACCGCGGGGGTTGAATGGGATCCGGCCAGCTCGGAGCGCAGGGTGGGCCAGGTAGGTGAGCAGGTGCCAAATGCACCGCGAATTGGTCGGGAGCCGAATCGGTGGGTTTGGATTTGAACCCCTGGATTTTGTAGAGAGTGAATGGCCCTCCTCCAACCCAGGCTCCAAACCACCAATCGGAGGGAAGATGAAGGGTAAGCCGGAACTTAGACGTGACTGCAACATGTTTGTGCCAGGAAGCCTTTTCCTGGGGGATAAGAAGGCAGCCAAATACCTAGCTAGGTATTAAATCAGATTTGTTCCCGCCCCAACAACCAAGTTGTTTGCTAGGACCTGTTGTTGGGGATGTTGGGGAATCCCCCGATTCGAATTTGAGGAGATACTTGAACACTTACCCCTAGCCGAGATTCTGCAAGTGTCCTTTCACCAAATGTTTCGAGAGGGTGTAGGCCTGATCTAGAAATGGTGTTGTGCTCGTTGTGGCCGAGTTTCCGGATGGGGTTTGGTGTAGGGGTTGGGGTTGGTTTGAGTTTAGTCTAGAGATGGTTTCTGGATGGTTCAAGGGCTGTGATGTAGGGCGGGCTTAGTTAACTCCACCTCCTTCCATGAGCCGGAGGTTGAAAACGAGTTCGACTTTCCGACTTGCGGGCAACTGCACGCAACCAGCGAGTTGTAAGATCCCTTACGGGATTTTGTCAGTGAGCCCGTGACCGAGGATTTGAGGCAGCGCTACATGACTCGGGCTTGCAGCCGCCCAGCCGGCTCTGTTTTTGTATTCTTGGTGCCTATTGCACCGCAGGCACCATTGCTTGACTGCTATTGGGTTGGGTCTTTAGACTTTAACTTTTTGGTTGAAGTCAAGGGGTTTTCCATCAACCCCCCCAAAACTCATTAAACAAACTTTTTGCAGGGGGGTCGTTGCAGCAACCAGATGGCTTCTTGGCCTACATGACGCAAAGCTTTGCCATGTGGGTTTTCGGGTATGCGCGACTGTGCGCGACTGTGCCCGCGTCCCGCGTCCCCCGCACTGCGTGAGGCTCCGAAGGTAGAGAGGGATGCAATCCTTATGGCATCATAGCACCAGGGCCGCCAAACGTCATCACCTTTTGTGTCCTGGTCCTTGGAACCAACTGGGCTCTCTTTTTTTTGTTGAGGTCCCTTTCTTGCTTGGTATAAAAAGGGGACACCAACAGGAACAAAAAACCCGAGTTTGCGGGTCCAACGCCTTAAAACGTCGCCCGGGCTCCGACATGGAATCTGCAATCCGCATGCAGCTACTGCATCCCAACCCTGCCTTTCATCTTCAGCACGCGAACACCGCAGATGTTTTTTGCCCCGGGCGGATCCGATCAGAACATTTGCAAAGAGACAAAAACCAGCCCCGCAGCATCGCCGCGTGAACCTCCATGGTGCCGGTCTCAGGTCTCGGCTTTTGAAGATGGGAGGCATGCATGACTTGTCGCGGGGCGGTTGCAGGATTGGCAGTTTTTTTGCCAGCCGAAGCTTGCGTGCTTTGCGCAAAGGTCTTGCATGGTCTTGCCCAACTCAGGGATGCCAGCCAAAACCCTTACTCGCCTTGCCATCCAGGAAGCTTTCCTATGCTTGAGCCTGCCCTCCTGAATCAAGTATAGAATATATATTTCATTTGTTTCTGCCTCCTGGAAGCATTCCCTTTGCTCCTTGAGGGTTTTTTTTGCTTCGGTTCTGCTTTCGGGCATTCGCCCGCTTGATGTTGCGCACGAGTGAAGTGAGGAGAGCCGCCTTTTCTCACGCCCTGTTGAGGGTCGCACTGAAGGAAGCCAGGAGCAAGCCACGTGGGCTATCCATGTGGGCTCTGAAGCATCCCAGAAAGGGCCCGTTTGGTGCCCAAAGGATCCAAGCGGGTCGTGCGTTTTTTTTTTTTTTGGGGGGGGGGGACCCCAAAACGGTGGCTTTCCTGTTGGTTCTCCCACAAAAGGGGTTTCAAGCTGAGCAAAGATACACCCACACTGGTGCCGTGAACTCACCACTACGCTGAAGTTTCCGATGTCCCATGAGTCCCAAGGCGCACGGGAAAGGGACCGAGATGGCGAGGCCATGATTGCGCTCAAGTCGCCGTGCCATGATCCTCAACTAGGTCCCCCAGCTAAGTGCCCTTCTCCCTCACTTTTGTTTGGTTGGCAGGATTGCCCTACTAAAATAGACTACAGAGAAAAGTTGGTACCCTTATTCTAAGCTCTCTACTGGAGGACCTAGACTTGGTATTGTCCTTGATATTAAGCAGGGGACACACTCAGAATTGGTTGACGGGGTGTTGTGTTTGTGTTGTTCGTTCTGTTTTCGATTTTGTTTGGTTGTTTGTTGTTGTTTTGTAGGGGGGACTCTCAGAATTGGGTTGGTGGACATTGGTTTGCCTATGGTTGTTATATCTAGGGGGCTCCCTCCGAATGGTTGGAAGTGCATTCCCACATTATGTCCACAGGGTTCATTCGCAGGGATGACAACACGTAGGCCTATCTCAATAATACTCGCCGAACGTCTTCTGTTTAGTGTTTGCCATTTTGCCCGGAGGTTCAACGGCATGTAGTGCGCTTCCTAAACGCCGAGTGAGTTTCCTCGAGTGGAAGAACCAGTTCGATTCCAATGTGTTTGGAAAATCCGCCCGCGGGAATCCAATTGGCAATGCAAGAGGGCCCGCGGGATTCCAAAGCACAGCTTCAAGTTCCGCAGGTTGCTTTTAGAGGAAAAGACTCAACGAGGCCCGCTTTCGGAGATTCCTCCCAAGGGGAGACCAGTGTGGAACAGACATGTATTTTTTTTGAGGGCACCCCTGCTTGGTTGGTTTTAGAGGTAAACCCAAAGGGAAAACCATGAAGACCCATTTTGGAGTGGTTGGTTGCAAGCCCGGGAGTCGGGAATCGGCCCTATTCAAATTGGAGCCCTTGGCAACAGGGGGAAACGACCATTCGAGTTGCAGGAAGCTGCGGCGCGCCTGCGGTGAGGTCTTCAAGACGAAGGCTTCGGAGCCCGAAATCAGCAGCAAGCCCCTGGTCGATCTTCGTTTCTTTGGGGGGCGAGGGGGTCTGTCGGATTTCCTAGGTCCCCCAGCAGTGCCCTTTTACCCTTTTGCAGGGTTCCCTACTAAAATAGACATTTAAACAAAAAATGGTACCAACTTATTCTAAGCTCTCTACTGGAGGACCTAGTTTCTCATGATTTCTCCCTTTGTGCAAGGCCATTGCAGGTGTTAAGGCCTAAAAACATGGTGGCTTCACCAAGCCCCTGCTCGATCTTCGTTTGGGTCTGTCGGATTTCTCCCAGAAAGCCCGTTGCATGGGTCCAGAGGTGTCCTTTGTTGGTGGTTTTGGTGGAAAAATCGATGGGCTGGTTTCGATTCCTGGTTCACCTGGCGGTTTCTTCTCTTCCACCAGGGCCATCTAATTACCAGAGTCTTTTCAAGGCCTCCCAAAAGCATGGCTGCCCCGCAGAAAGGGACACTTTGCTCACGAATGACTTCCAAACTCCCCCATTCCGCATGAAGCATCAGCGTCTCCATGGCCCTTAAGGGGTTTAGGGGGGACTCCAGGTGCACCACTTGGTCGCTAGGGGGTCTCCCATGTTGCAGCTGCCTCATTTTGTGGACCACCCCCCTCCAATTCTCGATGGCCCAAGCCCGCGCGAACTAATTCTGACCCCCTCCCTTTCCCCCCCCCCCCATTTTCGGGGACTAATTTTTGACCCCCTCCCCACCCCTTTTCGTTTCGGGGCGGATGGGAGGGGGGATGGGAGGGGGGGAGGGGGGGAGACCAGCTCTGTTTTCTTATTTCTCCGGCACGTGCAGGCGGTGCAGGGCTCCTGGTCTGCCGTGAAAGGCGGGGAACGGGCTGGGGTACTTCGCCGCCTCTGGGACATGTCGTCTGTTTTTTGTTTGTTGTTTGTTTTTTTGCTTCCCCCATAGCGAAAGTGACTCTCAGGCGCCCATGGCTTCGTGCAGCGGAAATTCTTTGAGGGCGAGGCGCGGCGAGTCTTTGTGCGGGGTTCACCACGCGGGCTTCTTCAAAATTGGCTAGAATGTGGCAATGTGGTTCTGTCTTTCTTCAAAACTTCGGGGGTGTGAAGGGTAAAGTGATTTAGGGTACCTAGAGTCTCCATGACCCCTAGAAAAAGGGGTCATACCCCTATAATTTGGGGTAATGGCTCCATTTTGTTAAGAGTCATGGAGACTCCAGGTACAAGCACATACGTGGACATCGCTCGTCTTGGGACAGAACCTACCGGTGGCATGCTGACGGATGGCACGCACCAGGCCCCCACGTTGAACCGGCTGAAGGCCAACAAGTACCGCAAGTACTACGGCGCCCCGCCCCTCGGCAGAGAACGCCGAGCCCCGGCACCTGGACGAGGCCCCCCAGCACTTGGTGCCCACTTTTTCCGTTTTTAGCCCCCGTCTAAAACAGACTACAGGAAAAAAAGGTACTTGTATTCTAACCTCACTACTGGAGGACCTAGTGGAGTTCCCAATGTTTTGGATCGGTGTTTGGTTTCCTTCTATCGAGCCTCTCGTCTAACACGAGCGCTCGCAAATGCTGAGGCTTTGCCCAATCAACCCCAAAACACGCTTTGAAAGTGAGTGGCAAGAAGGCAGACAGGCATTGTCACTTTGGAGAGCTGACAGCGCTCAAACAAGGGAATAAAGACATAGTGTTCTTTTGGGGCCTTGTTTGTCACTAGTGGTTCCTCTTTCCGTACGCCTTCTCTTAAGCTTGTTGGGGGGTTGTTTGCTTAAGCCTCCAAACAAACATCCCAGCGTTGGGTGACATCCCGCGCAAAGACCTGGCCCGGCTTTGCGACCCGTCTTAAAACTTGAGCTGCAACTGGCTGGTTGCGGGGGACCAGCAAATCAGCAGGGATTTATCTATCTTACTACCCAGAGGCTCCTGGGGCCTTCAATGGAAGACCCGAACCCTCCAGTGAAGACGGGCACAAAGACCACGATGACCACGGATCGCGTTCGAGCAAGCTCGGTGGGTTTCCACGCACTAGGCAGACAAAATCAGGGGTGAAACCAGTAGTTGTGCGCAGCATGGCATGTCCCCTCTCCCTTTGACGGTTTGAACGTCACCTGAGCCACAATCAAAACCTGGGTAGATGAAGGTTAGTAAAGGACAATCCCAGACAGAACTAGTTGCGGCCGCCTTTGTATTTCTTTACATCGTTCTAGGTCAACCATTCAAATACTAGGTTTTGATCGAGACTCACCTTCTGGTTGCCAGATTGAATTGATGGGGTGATGTATCGGCGCAACATGGTGCATGGTTTGCCCGTTGTTGGGCACGTGGCGTCCCCCGATTTCAGCCAACCGCAGCTGGCAACTGCAGATTTGCCAAGCTGCCAGGAAGCGTGATGGCAAGGCGGCCGAAGCTGAGAGACAGATCATCCAGTGGCATCCTTGCTCCCTGATCTGTAGTGTTGACCGCGTATGGCCGTGGGTCAAAACCGCTTTGGGATCCCATTTTGGGGGATTGGTGCAACACACATGTTGGTCTATTTTAGTGGGGATGTTCAATGGAGGTACGATTTGGATTTTGACCCATGGCCATATGAATCAACCTCAGTTTATGACAAGGGGGGTGGTGTAGTAGGGGAATCATCACTTTTGGAGGGGAACGCCCCCTACTAATAAACTGGGGTTGATCAATATGGCTGCAGGTCAAAATTACACTGGAGGGGCTACGCAGGTTTTGGTCAATGTTTCCACTTACTAGGGTTCCATTTTGGTACCGTTTTTTTGAGCCACAGCCATATGGGGTCAACATTAGCGGGTTTCCTGGTAAAAGAAGAAGAAAAACAGCGCAGACAGCCCTTCCCTTTGTAGTACCTACAAATGGTTGGGCTGGTCATTTCAAAATGCTCAACCCCAAGCTGGTCACACATGCCTCACTTGCCCAAAGCGAATCGACCTTTTGACCTTTTGGTTTCCCCTGTTTGGAATCCCATTTTTAGTAATGGCAACCCAAAAGGTGATCACCTTTTACTTCTGGGTCCCTAAGGGGCAACTGAGATGCAGCGGCTTTCTGTGCAAGACATACCCTTGGTGCTGTCCAAAATGCCGTTGGGAGGGGTGGGGGTCGGAGATCGCAGGGCATGACGCACCTGGCACCCTACCTGGCGGGCACGGTGCTTGCAGGACCTGGCTTGGGGTGGGATTTGTTGTGGGGCGGAGGCTGTGACTCAGTCCCTTGAAAGATATTTGGTTGGGTCTTTAAACGGTATTTTTTGGTTTTCTTGGGATCTGCTTGTGTTTCCCAGCTCAAGATGAAACAAAAATAACATTGCGCCGACAAAATGGCCACCAAGACGGTTGCTCATTTAAACCCTCCTCCTGATTGGGGGAAGCATCAAAGCTCGCTGGCCCGTGCAGTGAAGACTTGTTCCCTTCAACCCAAACGTGGCATCCAAAACGGGGATACAATATGTTTGTTTTTTGGGTTCCAGCTTAATCTGCAGTGGACTGACCCCAATGAGTCTTGGTTCTTCTCCGGGCTTTCCGGATCAGACGGTGTCATGTTTTGGCGCCTCGCGCTTCTTATGCCACCGTTATCCCAAATGACTAGTTGATGATGTGACTTGATATAACCAACCCTTCCCCCCCCCCCCGGCCAAAACATACAACCACGGTTGGGTTCTTGACATGTTGCTGTGACATTACCCCTGCAGCGTATCACCGGCGTGCCTCGAATGTGTTTGACCCGGGTCGCCAAGTTCCGCAGGCATGGCGGTGTTCTTCATTGTGCTCCCTATCAGCTTCAACAAGAACTACTCCGACTCCAAGAAGCGATACGAGGCATGGGCAGTTCCGTCAGATGGCCTATACGAGCAACGGGGTGCTGGTGGCTGGTGACCATGTGGCCTTTGAGGCGAACGTGCGTGAAAGTCTGGTTTTGTGGTTTTGGACGCGGTTCTCCCCCTTGGAAATGTTGCGTCTTGATGGTACAGACTCACCTGGATTTGAGTGCTGATTTCGGGAATCCACCTAGCACCGTTGGTAGGTTTGTAAATTCCTATGTACAACAAAACGTCCGCCGGTAGTAGATATCCACGATAAGGATTAGACTGACAGTTGAGCGACCATGACCACAGGACACAAGGATTTTTCGACCATGGCTCACTCTTTCGGCGTCGACCGAAGCATTCCGACGCCGCAGAGGCCTTCTACCGTGAGCATGCGGACCAGCTGGACAGACAGTTCGACAGGCGGTTTTCCAGGGTTCGGCTGCGTTGTGACCCGTTTTGACCCGAGGCCTCAGGTGCTGAGATGTGGTGAGTTTGCGGGCGGGGAAGGGGGGGGCGCTTGAAAAAATCCAAAAAGGCAGCACCACAAAAGGTGCCGATTTGTTTGTTCCTGACCGTGAAATGGTTCAACCACCCTTGCTTTGGAGTAAGGAAGAAACTAAACAAGCCCCCATGTCGGTGTGTCTTTTCTAAGGTCTGGACCCCCCGAAATTGGCTTCGGTTTTTGCTTCCCCTTTAGAACCACAAGAAAACAGGTGCCCTCAAACAAAGATCCATAGGGGGGTGATTCTCCGCTCTGTTCAAGCATCGTTCTTTTCTCAAGAGCCAGCTGTTTCCATCCTGGATTTTGGGATGGATGCCTGAAAAGAAGGGTCCCCAGAAAGAATGAAATTGGGAAGCCTAGAACCCAGAGAGACCCATTTTCAGTGGACAAAGGCCTCAAAAAGAAAGAAAGCCCCCATGGCCCCCCCCCCTCCCTTCCCCTTGTCCCATGGCATCGCCCCGCGCAGGGGTCAGTTTGCGCGGGAGCGGCGTGCCGGGGCCTCGGAGCTGGCAGAAAATGGAGAGGTTTCCCCTAGCTGCGCCAGCGGGGGGGGGCTTGGCGAGCTGGGTTTCTTTCCCATGGCGGTCCTGTGGGAAGTGTCTCATATGAGCGTTGGTTTTTCTTCTTTTTTTTTAAATAAAAAATGGCACTTTGTCTTTTTCCCTTTTTTTTTGAAGTTTCCCATATGGGCGTGTCTTTTTAAGGATGTCGTACCCTTTTTGGGGGTGGTTTCAAAGGGAACCACGCGGGAAAAACACCAAAAATTTCAGGGGCACCTAGTTTGAGACAAGCCCATATGGGTGTGGCTGAAATGTAAACAGCTGGGGCAAACCGCAGGTTTTAGCTTAGCTTTGTATTTGCCAGGGCTCCATTTTGGACAGATGGACGGATTCCTGCAGTTTGAAACGATGGGCAACCATTGTCCATTAGTATTTACTGGCGGAATCTTCATTCTATAGGGTTTTTAGGTGGTGCATGCACAGTATATCCAGTTTGGAAAGTATATGGTCGTTTGCCCAGTTGAGTGCCCCTTAACCGGTTGAAAGGGAACCGGTCAGTCCTCTTTTTGGATCTTTTGGACAAAGCTCAAGAAGCCGCAACGATGATGTTCTTTCAGGTCCCGTATGAATTATGTTCACCTACTGCGGATGGACGAACTCCATATGGAAGCCATTGCTTGCTGGTATTTACAGGGGAGTCAAATCATTCTGGGTTCTTATGTGCGAAATGGATTTCGTCCACAGCATCATGCCTCTGATTCAGGTCCCCCTTGACCGACACAGCCAGGTCTGTGACGTACGGGGCCCAACTCTAAACCTACAACTTCTGCACCAAACCTTAAAGTGGCGCCGGTTGAAAAGTGGCAGTTTCAACGGGAAACCCGTCAATCGCAAAACTTTTGGAGGGAGAATCCGGTGACCCCTGGAAAGAGAATCCGGAGCAGCAGCAGTTCTGTGCTACTGTGGATGGACGAAGTCCATAATCGCTTCCCACTTTGCAACTGTGGGAAGCCACGGTCTGTGGAATGGATTTTACCAGGGGGAATCGAATCATTCCGTTGGATTTCTTAGGCGGTGCGAAATGGATTCCGTCCGTCCACAGTAGCTCAGTGCCATTGGACGACCCGTGGGCCCGAAGAGTTCGATTTGTTCCATGCCCCATGGCAGCCCCCCGATGCGAAGGCCATGGGCCAAGCGGCGTTGTTCTCAGTGCTTTTTGGCGCGGGGATTGCAGAGGTCCACTTTTGGTCATCGCAATCTCCAGGTCCTTGGGGAGGAAAAAGTGAACTTCTGAACCCGGAATTGGCTTAAAGGCTTCCCTCCTCTGCCAGGCGCAGATGGAAGCTGGCAAGTGAGCAAAAAAGATTTGGGCGCTGGGGGCTCTGTTTTTGGCCTAGGCCAGTGAAAGCTGACACAGTTTGGGGTGCTCAATGGCTTCGGATTGAATGTCATGTCGCTTTGTGCTGGGGTGCCAAACATGTACGTGTTAGGCTCCCCGGGCTCAGTGTTGGGATCGATGGGGATGTGGCTGGCTGGTAGTGAGCATGCATGAGTAGAACGTTCTTGACGTAGCGCTTCGAACAGGGTCCTTGCAGTCAGTTTCGATCTCAATCAGGCAGGCGTCGCTTCTTGACCCACCTTTTTACCATGTTTTTCTCTGCGAGTTGTTGGTTTCGTTTCATTTGGCAGCCTGAGCAAGCCGCACTGGCCACTCAGATGCCAGGAACTGTCCACGAGCTTGTGGACTTAGAGGCGGGTCCGGGAGTGGGGCGGAGGTTGCAGCGAAGCGGTGGATCTGACGTATGGACTGGGCTGCGTGCCCCCCCCAGAGGAGGGGGCGACGCCCTGCGGCCCTACACTAGTTGTTACCCTGCCTGCGTGTTTCCCAGTTCAGGTTGGGGTTGGCTGGTTTTTGAATGGCAAAATGGATGTAGCTTTTGCCACATCCTCCAAAAGACCATGGGAAACCAAGGCGGATGCAAGCCCTGTGTTCAAACAGGTAAGGCCTTTACCAACCTTGCGGGCTTTGGGCGCCTGAAGGGGTTGTTTTTTCCTCCACTGCCACCTTTTATGTGCAAAACGAGGAAAAGTGGGGAAACTGTACCAACATGTTGAAGTGCTACTCGCCTTGGTTGCGATGGAGAGACGGAAAGGGGGGCAGAGCAACTTTTAAATGCTCCCAGTTACCACTTTGGTTGGTAACCATGTGTGTTGACAACGGACTAACAAGCCAGCCCTAGGGGGTGTTCCTAAACGTGGTGTAAATCCCCCACGAAAAGGGCCCCCCCCAATCAAAGTCAAGCAGGGCTTCTGCTGAATCCAGGGTTCCCATTCTGCGAAGTTCAATCCTTTGAGGGTACCCCATTTTTGGTAGTAAAGACAAACCACAGAAAAGAACCAATTTCATTTGGGGGGTCCAACCCACAAGACAATAAACAAAAAGAAAATCAAAATAAAGAAGAAATGAAACAAAAATAATATCAGAATAAAGAAGAACAGAAACAAAAATACAGTTTAAATAAAGAAGTAAAGAAACACAAAAAAGCCAGCCTTCTGGCCAGCGGTCCTGGGCGAGTTTTTGCGGGTGAATCACCCCTCGCGGAGGCCCGGCGCCAGTGCCGAGACTTCATCTTCGACGCAGGGCTCTTCATGTGGGACACCGGACGAGGTCCGGGGTAGTGAACTTGACTGCTATTGGGCAACGGATCTTTAGGCTTTCACTTTTTGGTTGAAACCAAGGATTCAGTTTTCCACTACACCCCCAAAAAGTGTTCAACTTTTTGCAGGGTCAACAGCAACCAAGTGAAGGATCTGCCTCAAAAGGGGGGGCTTGTAATTATTTATCTTAATTGGAAGGGTATCAGGGCAGCAGTTTTGCAGGTCCCTTCTTAGTCGTGCTTTTCGTTGTTTTTCTTGGGCGCGGAGGGTAAGACGCAGCCTGATCTGGGGGTTTGGGGTTTTGGCAAGAGGCCGATTGAGCACAGACCATTGTTTTGCACCTGTAATTGTCGCCATTTGGTGGCAAGTAGGATTGCGTGGTACTGGACCCCCTGTCGAACATCTAGATTCCCAAGAATCGCAGGACTTTATTCTCCAGACTCCTCGGAATTACATCCAACTACAACCAATACCCACTTCTAATACCCGAATTTTAGAATATACCTTAAAAGAAGGGTGGGTATACCCACTTCTAATACCCGAATTTTAGAATATGCCTCAAGAGAAGGGTGGGGTATGGGCTATGTTTCGGTGTGTCCCCTTTCTCCGTTGCCTTGGAGCGCCTAGCGAAGACAGCCACGTGCTGCGCCCACAGCCGCGCGCCAGGCCGCTTGAAGCCGCAGACCCTCACCCTGCGCCTCGCGAGCTTTGTGGCGTGGGCCTCTGGGCCTCGGGGCCTCCGGGCCTCGGGGCCTCGGTGGGTTTCAGGCGCAGGCTCACTTGATCTTACTTCCTGAGTCCATGAACTTGAGAAACTTTTTGGGGTTAGACTATTTTAGTGGTAAATATAAAGTTTGGACTTTTTTGGGGCCATCCACTCAGCCAGTGAGCCTTTCGTCATGGTTCCTCACTTCCTCCCGGCCATTCAACCATCTACATCAGTTTGGCTCACGTCCTGATTTCTGGGACTCGGACTTGAGTCACTTTTCGGGGTTGGTTTGTGTCGTTCAAAAGTTCCTGTTTTTTTTGTTCTGTTGTTGGACTCGATCGGAGGACTAGTGATACTGTGGGTGGTTGCGAAATCCGCTTCTCGCACCACTCGGAAATCATCGGTATTTACAGGGGAATCGAATCATTCCGTTGGGCTTCTTAGGTGGTGCAGGATGTCGTCCATCCACAGTATGTGTCCCTTTTCGGTTTTACACATCACCTTGCCCAAAGGTGGGTGTCCCTTGGCTTGATGTGTCGAGGAGAACTACCCTTTATTCCAAACACCCACTTGCTTTCAGGATATTTGTTTGAGAACAACCTGGGTGTCCATGCTAAATACCTCTGTTGCCCAGTGGGTTGCTTCCTTGTTTCAACTTTGTTTTTTGAAGGGTTCTGATTCCTTTAAACTCAACCAACAAAAAAGGGTGCCGAATCTTTTTTCCCATGGACATCCACTGGGCATGTGGGCATATACTTGCGATCGGCGAGATAGGCAAGGAATGAGAAACGGAATGACCTGTATAAATCATCCAACTGGTGGTTTCCTTTAGGGGAATCTCCAGGTTCATTCCCTTATGCCCGGCTGAGCACCAGCAAGTAGTAGCTTCCTTCATCGCTATCTGGTTGGATCTTTGGACTTTGACAGCTTTTTGGTTGAATCAGAAATTATGTTCCAACTTGGACCCACAACACGGCCAATGGGTTTGCAGAGGGGTCAACCGCAACCAAGGTAGACAACCAAGGGAACCACCCTTGAGTACAGTGCCTTGCCTGGGATCCACTGGGCGAGGCTTCCACTCTCATCCGAACTTTTCCCCAGTTGCCAGATCCGAATTCAGCGAATCCTGGCCAGTTGGCCCTTCTCTTCTTTTTTTTTGCTCCCTGCGTGTGTTATCAAACAACCGTGTCATGTTCATGTGTCGCAGCAGGTCACGCTGGCTCACAAAAGGTCACGCCTTTTTCAGGGCTGCTTAAAAGATACATGTTGCCCGCTTGAAACACATGTACAAGGCAATGTTCAGGTGTATAATGCATCCGGATCCCTGGTGTTACCACGTCATGTCGTTCAGACCGAGGCTTCGCATCGGGATGCCATCTATCACTTGGATCTGGGTGCGGCCCTGCCCTCGGCGCACCCCAAATATCCCGATCTTCGAAGATCCTTCTTGGTCAGTGTCCTCAGTTGCAACCAAAGCGAATCGACCTTTCAACCGTTTCGGTCTTCCAGTTTTGGGATCCCATTTTTAGTCATGGCAGCCCAAGAGGTGATCACCTTTCATGTCTGGGTCCCCTTTTGGGGCAAGTGCGTGTCAATTGAATCACATTCCTTTGGGCTAACTGAACTTCTTGGATTTTGTTCCGTCTCCGTTGCATCTCTGTCAACGTCTTCATAGATTTAGTTCTATTTTATTCATAGTTCTGCTATTTCTTTCTGTATTTGTGCTTGTTTCTTTCTTTGTGTTTTTGGTGTTTCTTTCTTTCGTCCTTTGCGTCGTTTTATTTTTAGATGCTTCTTTGTTTCTTCTTTGTTGCTTTCTCTCGTTCTCTTTCTTTCTCACTGTGTTCTTTTTCAGGGGCTATCCGGTCGACCGGGTTACCGAAGATGGATGCCACGCTCGGTCAACTCAACCACTGTGTCAATGCATGTGAAGGTTGACCCCTAGCAACATTGCCAGACTCGCTCCCTGAGTTCCAGGACTTTAGTCAACGTTTGGAAAGACCATTTTAATGGCAAGCAACAAGCTTGGTTACCTTTTTCGGCCCTTCAGCTCAGGAAGTGAAGAGACTTAGCTTACCTCTTTGCAGCTGTTTGCCTTTGTTCTAGGGGTTGATTCCCTGTCCATTCTTTTACAACCATGGAGCTTTTCAAAGACCGGATCCTTTTTCCCTGGGTTTCCGGAGGTCTAGAAAGATTCGGATCCCTGGACATGGAAGTAAAAAACACCAGCTCCCTTTTTTCCTCAGCACCGGCCATTTATACTGGGTTTTTGGGGGGTGTTCGAAGGTAGGCCCTTAGATTTTGGTCGTTTTCAAGCGCTTCTCGCCCTCTCAGCCCAAGCAACACAAATTGCTTCGGCTTCGGCTTCGGCTCTGCGCCGCGGTGGTTCGGCTTCGGCTTCGGCTTCGGCGGTGGCTGGGCATCCGTTTCGTTCGGGTTCGGGTTCGCCCAGGCCCCCACGCAAATGCTCCAGGATGAGCGGGTGCAGCCGCTTGTCAGAAGTTGGAAGCAGCTCGCAGGGTAGCAGCGGTGAGGATGTTTTTTTGGTTGTTTGTTTGTTTCTTGTTTTTCCTTTTTTTTTGATGGTTTTCTTCTGAGCTGAGCTGAAAGCGCATCGACCTTTTCACCGTTCGGGATTCCCATGTTGGTCCCTATTTAGTCCTGGGCCCATAAAGGTTAACCTTTTTATTTGTGGGTCCTTTAGGCAACTGAGTCTTGCTTGATCCAAATCCTTAGTTCAGAACTTGGGATTCTTGCGAAGTTTGCAGATAGCAATGTGTTGATTTCAAATCCGCAGAGTCAGTTTCAAATCCGCTGCTGCTTCAGTCGAATCTGTTTGCCATTCGTCTCTGCCTTCTGTATGCCTCGGGGGAAAGACTCGCTCGGTATGATGATAAGGGTTCGAACTTTGCCAAATGGATGTCTTGCACCAGCTTGTGGCAAGATGAGGCAAGTGAGAAACAGCTCATGTGTGCTTGCTGAGCTATGAGCAGAAATGATGCAGCCAAGCATCCTGTTTGAGAGGCACGGGAAAGGCAAAGGCTGGGAACATTGCCAGACTTGTTTGACTTTGCTTGCCTTTGCAACTTTTGAGCCATTTGGCCCAGTGAAAAGAGGTTCGACCCGCCTTTCAGGCAAGCCATCAGCAAGATGCGGAACTTGCAGGACGTGGCTTTTTGGGCTGCACTAAGGGCCTAAGGGTATGCAGTTTCTTGTTTTTTGACATCCCTTTTGTTTCAGGTGAGCCTTGGATTGCACGTTCTGTACCCATCCTCATGTAGCCAATGAAGAGCTGGCTTGGCTGGGTTGGGTATGATGCGAGGAGGGCTTGCCTCACTCCCTGAGTTTGTGAAGCTTTAGTGACTTTTTGGTTCGGACCATTTCAGTGGTACATAACACGTCCAGGCTTTTTCTGGCCAATCCACTCAGGAAGCGAGGTAACCTCTTGCCTCAATACCTGGATCTCTGGCTCTTGCACATCCCTGGCCGCTTAGCCAAAAGCACTCCTTCACATCGCTTTTCCACCGATAGGGAGTGGTTGTCTTTCGGGTGATCGGTGCAAAGTGCTGGTGACGGGCCGCCTGTCTTGAGGACAGCGTGCCTTTGCCGTGAGGAGTTGTCTCTTCCGGGTTGCCCGGTGTGTGGGCCTGATGTGTCAAACGTGGCTGACTTCCAACCAGATGGAACATCTTTCTGGGTCAGGTTGATGGAAAACATGAAGCAAACGCCATATACATCTCTAGCCAACTCGCTCGAGTTGGTGGTTGCAGATAATCCATCAATGTAGGAACTTCAACACAGTCGGCTTCAGGTTCCTGGTTTTGGTCAGCCCATTGCCGATGTCAGACACTGATTTTGCTTTTCAAAGCCAATCCTGACTCCTTACTTTGCGAAAGTGGGTGCTGTGTTCTCCAAAAATTATACATTGGCACTGGCCAAGCCTCCATTTAGCAAACCACCTGAAAAGGGGGTAGCCTCAACAAAGCACCCGCCCATCTAGCCCACGTGGTCGAGGTACGCAACTAAAAGACACCATTTCCCTCCGCTCCCGAAAAAGACTTGAGAAAATGGCAACCCTCAATGCTGAACCCCGAGAAAATTGGCCCAAATCAAAATAATCATCCCTTTGTAGCAGAGGGCCCATTTAGGGCTGGCCCCCCAAATCAAATAATCAGGGTCCCTGTTTAGCAGAGGGCCCATTTTACTGTAACGGCGAAAGAAACAAAACGACTCGCGCAAATCCCGATTTGTCCACGGGGAAAACTCCCGAGGTCTTCCCGAACCACGGCTGGAGCTCCAGCGTGCGGGGCCCTGCCTCGAAAAAAGAAATCGTGTGACCTGGAGCCTCCTGAGCCCTAACATGGGGGTCATTGAGACTCCAGTTGTTTTTGTTTTTTTTTGCGGCAAGCTCACTTGGATGGCCAAAAACAGAAAAATTGGTTGGTCAATGATGGGGGTATGAGCAAAAAGGGGTCATACTCCTGACCCCAGCTTTTTCAATTTGTCAGGCTATATATTTTTGCGGGTTTAACCGCACTTGGATGGCCCCAAAGCGCGGAGAGAACCCCAACCTGCGTTGTTCTCAGAAAAAGTCGGAGCTTTTTTTATGCCACTAGCTGATGCAAGCCAAAGTACGTCCAGGAGCACGGGAAGCGAGGTTTTTTTTTGTTTGCATCGAACAGGACACCCAGCATTTTCGGGGTCAAGAAACGGGGTTGGTGTCCCATGCACCCTGTACAAGAGCCAGGGTTGAAGTCAAAACCAATCCGAACCCAAGCACCAACGCTACCTGAAAATAGGGTCAAGCACAGAGAGAAGCGGCGAAGCGGCACCCAACGACCTGGCACCAGGGTGCTGGAACGCTGGAAGGAGGTTATCTCCTACCCTAAGGATCCGATTCGACTGTTTTTGGGCCCTTCAAATGGGTTGTTTTTGGGGGCCCGGGAGGAATTGGTCGGGGTTCCATTGGAGGGTCCGGGGGTCTGCATTGGAGGGGTCATGACCCCTAGGGTACATCCTAGCTTTGAGTTTGTGTGTTTGCTGACATACCTCGCTTAGAGCCCTTCCTGAAACGCATCGAAAGAGCACCTGCAACAAAGACACACCCATGTACCGGTTTTTGCCCCCTGGTGAAGTCTGGGGTTCAGGTTCCAACAGGTTCACCTGGCCGGTGCGGTGTGACAACAACCAGCCGAGGGAATCTTCACCTGGCCTCCCCTATCCCAAATTCGGCGCCCGGCACAAAATAAGACAGGCCACTGAGCATAAAGCTGGGCTGTTCAGAGGTAATCCTTAATCCTTACCTGGGGTTACGCAAGGGGTCCCCTTTGTAGTGGCTTTCCTATAGGGATTATGGAAAATCGGATTGGCCAACCCAATCCATTTTGAACAGCCCAGTAAAGGGGAAGTTGTCCGGCGGGCGGCTCCACCAGGCAAGGATGCCTCGAGCCACAATGAAGATGTGGGTGGGCGAATGGCGAGGGACAATCCCAACCATAGATAGGTGCGAATGTCCACCCTTTCGTTCTTGACATGGTTCTGGGTGACCCACTTTAATACCCAGTTTCTATGACATATATATATATATATATGTGTAGAGATATACAAAACTAAATTATCAAGTTTCTGGACATCATCACATTTCCTGGAAAATCCCAACCCCCTCATGTTGAAAGGTTCCTCTTCCCCAAATGCAGGGAAGACATGATTTCAATGGGCAAGTTGCTCCGCTTATCCCCTGATAAGCGGTTGGAGTCCCAATCCTGAGGCTTGGAAGTTCCTAGGTGACCTTTTGATCGGTTAGTGGAGTTGGACATTGTTACTCAGTTGCTCAGTGGCTCCCTTTTTCCCCTTTTTTTTTTTGGGGGGGGGGCTGCCCCACTAAAAATGTGGTCTTCCCAAAAAAGGGTTCCCTTTTTTTCAGGGTCACGGAACAACTGAGGTTATGGGTTCCACCGGTTTGGATGTGTGTTTCTTTCCATTTACCAGGAAAGCCAATTATTGTTTTTTGCCCAAAGGACACCTATGATTGGAAGTGTCCAGTTTTAGAGCCCCTGATTGTTCACCAAAGGTCACCTATGCGTGAGTCTTTTGGGGCCATCTTGATTGGAACTGGGTGAATTATAACGACCTCACACGACCGAATTCACCCCAAATAGTGGTTTGTGTGGGGAATGGCCCCGGAACCACCTTATTTCAGGCTGGCGAAGTATTATAATTCACCCGGATTGGCAGGGGCCAGGTCTCTTCTCGTCTCACGGAATCTTTGGGGGGGCTATGGCGGGGGGCTATCCCAGGATAAGGGCCTTTATTTAGGGCTTAGGTAGGGATAGCCCGCCCTCCCCATAGCCCCCCTTGAGGGTCCATGATCCCCTCTTTTTTTCCCTGGAGCGCTGAGGAGCGGCGCTCCAACTTCCTGGCGTGCCTGCCCCCTGGCGCTTCCGCCTGGGGTCGGAACAAGGCGCGGGAGAGAGAAAAGCCCAGAGGTGGCAAGCGAGGCGGCGGGCGCAGTTGGTTCAAAATGTGGGGTCCCTCTACTTGGTGGCTCCCAGCCGTTTTTTTTTTGGTGTTTTTTGGCGGCACATGGAAACACGAGCTGGATGGCTAAGATTTGGGAGCGCAAAGCCGGCGACGAACGCGCGCCGGGGGGCAGGGGGGGCCAGGCGAAACAGACAACTCTGCCATCCACAGCGTCTAGTGACAAAAAAATATGCAACCCAAGGCAAAGTTTATCGGGGTCACTGTGACAAGTTGCCAAGTTCGGGATGGCAATCGTTGTCGTTGTCCAACCTGTGGCGCAATGGTCATGCAGCAAAGCCCGTGGCCGAATTAACATCAAGCACCGACACATCGAGAGTGTCGGATCTTTGTTGCTGGACAACTGCTATATACAAGTTGCACTAAATGACATGTTAATTCAGATGTATGTGTTTGATTTGTGACTAGTGCGTTTGTGTGTTTAAAGTTTTAAAACCTTAATAATTCAAAATTTCAATAAAATAAAAATGCGATTTCAGGTAACTCCTCAGCAAATCGGTGGCTTTTGAGGGTTGCCCTTGTGCACTTCCGCGAAGGAAAGCTGGTGGACCACGAATGTTGCTGGGAGGCTTGGGCTGTTTCTAGCATGTAATGTGAACCCCAGATGAATCATCAAAACCAATGGAGAACCCATCAACAAAAGCTTTGTCACAGGCCGTCTTGTCCCCACATGCTATGTTCCCTTCGGCTGCTCCCTCGCTACAGAAAAACGTGTGGGGAAGATTCACCGGTAGATCAATCGACTGGGCGGTTTTCGGCCCCTCGGTGGCCACAGCAAAAACGGGCACCCGTCTGTTGTAGTTGATGTTCAAGGGGAAACCACTGAAACAAAAGCGGAACTTTTTGTTGGAGCTGACAGAAGTAATTCAAACAAAGGAAGAGAAAGACATCCTAGCTCCTCCAGTAGAGAGGATAAAATAAAGGTGCCCTTTTTTTTCTGTAGCCTATTTTAGTAGGGCAATCCTCCCAACCAAAAAAGGGGTTCAA